CACAAACAAAAGTTCTTAACCCGAGGTACTATTTCTGGGTTAGCGGAGTCTGTAACCTGAAGAGTCTATAACCTGAAGCGTCTATAACCCGAGGTACCACTGTACCAGCTTTCATCTGATTTGAAAACAAGGTATGTACAGTTAAAGCATCTGTTATGCATGAGGAGATTGTGGTGCACCTTATTTATAGGTATTTATAGGTATAGGTATATATAAATATATAAGTTGACACCTTAATTGAATTGGAGTTTGTTGGGTTGCATGCACGGGAAAACAGATTGGGGGCGCGCGCAATGAGTGAAGTTATTGCTGCCCGCTTTGTGGTGTGTGCTGTGAGGTAGAAATGTGACTTGGAATGAAATGTGGCAAAACCAGTAACCTGACCTTCAAGTCAGTACCCAGGAGGACTCCCCTGCTCAGCGCCTGAAGGCCCCAGTCCTGCCACTCACCACTTGGCCTAGGGCGGGGCCTGATGGGCTCCATAAAGGACTGCTGCCGCCACCACCGCCGCCGCTAAGAAGAGAGGACTCTGGTTTTTTTTTAAATTGCTGTTATTTTTTACCTATGTCATTTTAAACTGTGATATTAATGCTGTATTCTTAGTTTTGAGATTGTGATTTATGTGGAAATTGTTTTCCATTTGGCTGTATATTTTTTGATGTGGTTTATTTATTGTTTATGACTTTTGTAATTATGTAAATCTTGCCATGTTGTAAGCCGCCTTGAGCATTGTTTTTAACTGTGGAAAGGTGGCATACAAATAAAAATGATGATGATGATGAAGATGAAGTAGCACTGGGCACCTCATTCAGTGAAAACAGGCAAATCTAGAGTTTCTAGATGACAGTAATCATGCAGCCATATATCATGGTGACATATTTTCAGAAAATCTAATCTGATCCTGTAGCAGCAGCACATGAGTAAAAGGCGTCAACCAAGTGTCACCCAACTGCAAAATCACTAAAATGCTTGCCAGGAAATAGAAAGACAATGCGTTTTGATGTACGTTTCAAAGAAGAAAATTGAAGCTATACTCCAAGTCAATTGAAGTATTAATCTTTGAAAATTGGCTTCTGTAAATAACCTGAAAAACCATGCCGCACACCTCAGGGATGTGGTCAGTCAAAAGTACGTAACAGCAAAGAAATCTGTCTTCTTGTCCAAACCACAAACCATTTAAACTTATAACACCGAGGCCAATGAAGAAATGGCAGCATCAAAAATCACAACATTTTTAAAAAATAAAAAAATAACCTGCCTTAAACATCTGGGAAATAAGACATTCGTGTCTAGCTAATAAATGTAGAATGCTGCAATTGAAAGTAGCTGTAATTTGGCTCACAAACCTTTCAAGGAACATTAAATGCTTTAATGCATGCAGCTGACCTTTCCACTCCAAGGTATTTCTTCTGCTCTTCAAAGTGCTTGAAGGTAATTCTAACCTGTTACATTACCATTTTCACTCACCAACCTATGTTTACATTGCAATCCATGGGGAAAACCCCATCAAGGAAGCCATGGAGAGTTATCAGGGAAATTCATTTAGGCCCATCAAAGTTGATATTATAATGTTCCAGATGTCTGCAAATGAGTGTGCACATCTGTCCACTGAAAAGTATGGAGCATTTACAGGCTTCTTACATTTCTGACACAAAGTCAGACCATTGGTTTAAATCATGTCCATGCTCACAATGGCATAACCCTAAAAGTTGTTGAAGTGCCACAACAGACAACTGAGTGATAATGTGTACAGTGGTACCACGGGTTACATACGCTTCAGGTTACAGACTCCGCTAACCCAGAAATAGTACCTCAGGTTAAGAACTTTGCTTCAGGATGAGAACAGAAATCGTGTGGCGGCGGCGGGAGGCCCCATTAGCTAAAGTGGTGCTTCAGGTTAAGAACAGTTTCAGGTTAAGAATGGACCTCCGGAACGAATTAAGTATGTAACCAGAAGTACCACTGTATCTGTGTATCACTTCCTTCAAAATGTGGCAAGCCAGCCCTGCTGCCTTTGGGAAATCATCTTTCTCATTCTGCTACATGGAGTCCTGGGCACTTGCCCTCTTAAGGATGCCGTTTGTTTTCCTCAGGGAGAGGGAATAATGGAGGAGGAATCTGTTTTAGGTGTCTTGTAGGCTATGTTGAGCTCTAATCTGTAATGGTTTGATTGCATTGGTCATTTTGATAAGCGTTTTTGAACTGCCCTGGATGTGGACCTCAACATCTGGTTGCTGCTGCTAGCTCTATTTTCTTCTCCAGATGTTGTTGGACTGCAACTTCTGTCATCCCTGACCATTGACTATGCTGCCAATGGGGTTAATGGGAATTGGAGTAAAACAACAATTGGGGCGCCATAGATTCACGATCCATGTTCTACTTTCTACAACTCTCTGAAGTTACATATATATTTTTTCCTTTACTTGCCAGCTCCCCCACCTAGTTGAACCTGTTACCTATACCTGATAAATCAACCAGGACAACATGCCCCAACAGTTGTTAAAATCGATTGTTAGCAACATCTATACCCGAATATGTTCTGTGTATATCTAGGTTGTTTTTATACTTATGGTTAGGTTTTGGGTTTTTTAAAAGAAAGAAATCCACATTAACCTCTCTCCTTCCACTCCTTAAAGACGACATCAACAGGGATTTCCTGACTGTGTTTCTTTTGACTCTGTGCACTGGTGTGAAGTACAGGCTGTTTAAATAAATAATCTCTTTGCACACACACACACACACACACACTTGATAAATCTAAACCAAAGCCGGAATTGACTCAGCTGAAATCCTAGCTTTGCGCTCTCATTTGGCGTAAATCACTTAGCAGATGGGACGATAATCCAGGTTACTAACACATTCTGCTTTGGGGATCATCCCTGGCACTTGAAACATTGTGCTTGCAACAGAATGAATGTTAGTGTCTTCCAGTGGTTAAAAGAGATAAAGCCAGGAGGCTAAATGTTATGATGACTGTTATCACAAGATTTGATGCTATGGGGTGGTTGCCCATCACAGCCATAGAAAGATAAGGAAGGCAAAGAAGGCAATTTATCTGGACAGGTCCATTGCCGTGCTGTGCAAACATCAGCATCAATGCTTTGGATTTGCCAGCAAGATTTCTGGGAGTGTTTCAGCAAAATAACTCCAGTGGATCCCTTTTACTTGGGAGAGATTGAGCATGCACACTGAGAAATGTTTCCTGCTGTCTCCAATCATCTTCCTCTGATCTCCAGCGTGACCCAGAATGGCAAATGGACCAAACTCAGCCAGCCTCCATCTACCTGCCTTCTTACATCTGCTCCAGTTGGTGGCAGTGGTTGTCAGCTTCCTCTTCCTTTAGTCTCCCTTGGAGAACTCAGCAGGGAGGAGGAATGGGGGAAAAGGAGAATTAGTTGGCTTTGCATACCGTCTACAATTCCATATCCATCAACTGTCCTGGCAAAAATGGAACATCTTGTTTTTTCTTGTGAGAGGACAGCGGCCAAAATGGCTGCCATGATCTCGCACGATTTTAGGATGGACCTTTGGGGGTCACGGCACAAAAAATGCATTTCAGGATGTCACGTAGGATTGTTGTTGTTGTTGTTTAGTTGTTTAGTCGTGTCCGACTCTTTGTGACCCCATGGACCAAAGCATGCCAGGCACTCCTGTCTTCCACTGCCTCCCGCAGTTTAGTCAAACTCATGCTGGTAGCTTTGAGAACACTATCCAAACATCTCATGCTCTGTCGTCCCCTTCTCCTTGTGCCCTCCATCTTTCCCAACATCAGGGTCTTTTCCAGGGAGTCTTCTCTTCTCATGAGGTGGCCAAAGTATTGGAGCCTCAGCTTCATGATCTGTCCTTGCAGTGAGCACTCAGGGCTGATTTCCTTCAGAACGGAAAGGTTTGATCTTCTTGCAGTCCATGGGACTCTCAAGAGTCTCCTCCAGCACCATAATTCAAAAGCATCAATTCTTCGGCGATCAGCCTTCTTTATGTGTCCAGCTCTCACTTCCATACATCACTAGTGGGAAAACCATAGCTTTAACTATACGGACCTTTGTTGGCAAGGTGATGTCTCTGCTTTTTAAGACTTTTTCTGGGACAGCAATCTTGCCTAGATAACATGACTTGCTCCAGAAGGTGGTGTCCTGGTTTGGGGTCGCTTCATACTGGAAGGTATGCAATGCTACAGTTGTATGATCCCAAGTGCTGTGTTTTGGATTGGGCATTGTTTTGGAATGTGCAAACTGGATAGATTTGGCTTTAAGTGCATTCTGAATGGAATTTCTCCCCCGTCCTTAAAGGCAGCAAATGTGTGTCTAAACCACTTTCACCACACTATAGAACAGGGGTGGGGGAAACAGGTGAGAAACCTCAGGCCCTCCAGATGTTCCTGAACATTGGGCACATTGCCTGGGGCTGATGGGAACTGGAGTCTATCTGAAGGAGCCACTGGTTCTCCAGCCCTGCTTTGGAATGTCTTCAGCAACAGGAAGCTTTTCAGTTCTGACTTGGTTCTGTTTGGCTATCTGATTGCCGTATTTGCTTCATGGTCACCCTGCCCAATAGAGTTGACCTCACAGATTCCAGCTCCAGATCTAGATCCATGCCAGGGTTTGTTGATAGCCTGGCAGGCTCCCAACCAGACCAATGTTTTATGCACCTCCCCCTGCTTTAAAAAAAAAAAAGTGATTTGAGGGTTTCTTTTCGGAATGACAACCTTTGCTTCCCTCTTCCCAATAAATAAAACCTGAATGGCACTTTAGTGTCCAAATCAGATTTTTAACGGCAGAAATATTTCACTAAGCACACATACTGAAATTGGACAGCATGCGGATGTAATAATGTCTGCTAGGAAGTCGGACTCTAAATGGAAATATATGGATGGCTCTTCAGCTGAGAATTAGCTGAAAAGGATTTGGAGCTCTGTACGTACAGTTAAATTAACTCCTTTGGTTAGATTTAGGGAAGGGAAAGGAAGCAATAATCAGCTGAGAATGAGGAAGCTCTGGTGAAGGAAAATAGCTCAGTGGCAGAGCATCTTCCTTGTACGCAGAAGGTCCCAGATTCAACCCCTGGCTTCCCCTGGTAGGACTGGGAAAGATTGCCTGTCTGATGCTGTTGCCACTCAAATTAGGCAGTACTGAGTTAGATGGATCAATGGTCTGACTCGGCAGAAGGCAGCTTCCCATCCTCCTGTGTAATTTGTGAGTTAAGAAGGAAGGCAGTTTGTGCCTCAAGTTGAAACAGACTTGATGACTAATTATGGGGTCCAGAATTGCCACCACCTGAGAACACAGATGCTGATTGCCACAAAAGCCTTCACTTACAACGAGAAATACCAGGGCTATAATCCTATGTACTGGGAGTAAGTTTGATAGGACTTGGAGGGTTCCACTTAATGGTACACCAGTGGAGTTCCACTGGCCCACCTGGACTTCAATTTCCTTCCCCCGCCTTACCCTGTGCACCCCCCAAAACTTCCCCAGAGGGTGCTCCATTTGTCCAGAGCTGATTTTAAGGGTACATGAGGGGACTGGAGGGAAGAGGGGTCATAGAATATAGAGTTGGAAGGGACCCTGACGGTCATCTAGTCCATGCAATGCAAGAATCCTACTCACAGCTGTCCCTGGGTGGGCTTGAACCACCAACCTTCTGGTTAGCAGCCAGATGCACTGACCCATTGCGCCACCTGACGAGGAAGAGGAAGAGGAAGTCCCAAGTTCAGAATCCATGCATTGTTCCCTTGCATGTTTTACCCCCTCCAGATAACTGATGTCCACCTGCTGTCAAATGGGAATTCAACCAAGGAGAGGTCCTTGTGAGTTCTGGAACTTTTGCGGCATTTTGAACCGTTGTTTTTTCTTTGCCTACTTCCTACCTTTCCAAGGTGTGGAATTAAAATAGCTGTATAAATGCTGAAATAAATAAATAAAAGGGACGTTGAGCCCCACCCCCACCGCCAAAGGGACATTCCATGGTGTGGCAAAGATGGGACCTAAGGAGGGGGACTTAGGCTGGATCTGAATAAGCCCCTTCCACTCTGTTGTGTGACCTGAGAACTCAATGCAACCCACTGTTTTAATAGCTTGCTTTCCCTCTGCCAGGCTTAGGCAGAATGAGCACTCACACTTTACACTGTGGCTGCCCTTTGCGGGATCACGCGTGGTGCTACAGTTCCCAGGGAGCTTACTGGCAAACAGGAGCTGGCTTGCTTCTCAGTGTTAATTTTTGGAGGTTTACGCCCAGCCTCAGTAATCAAGTTTCTTGCTGGGAAGTGGGGCCAGCCCCATTTATAAACAGGGGGTGGAGCTGACAATAGCCAGGCAGTCAGCTCTGGAGATTCACCCTCCCTTTGTTTAATGTATCTTGTTTGCAGGTTAACTTTTTATTCCTGTTTAGCGGGCACTGCTACGGTCTTCGACTGGATGCTGTTGAAGGACCGGGAAGAAATTTTCCTGCATTGGCAGGTTTTGTCTTCCCCGTAGCAATTCGTCACAACTTTGGTGCTTATTGCCTTGGGTGGAATCCTTTAGTCTTTTCTTCCCTATAATGTGTGTGTGTGGGGGGATGTGAAGTGGTGACTCACCCCCCTGTGGCAGCGATTCCAGGGTCCCCCTCTTAAAGGGGTGTTATATCTATCTATATCTATCTATCTATCTATCTATCTATCTATCTGTCATCTGTCATCTATCATCTATCATCTATCTATCTATCATCTATCTATCTATCTATCTATCTATCTATCTATCTATCTATCTATCTATCTATCTATCTATCTATCATCTATCTATCTATCTATCATCTATCTATATCTATATCTATCTATCTAATCTATCTATATCTATCTATCTATCTATCTATCTATCTATCTATCTATAATCTATCTCACTGGCCATACACTGAAAGGTCGTCAGTGAACTACCCTGCGTGTGGGATATGGGCTTGGCTGCCTGCTAGACAGAGCACCCCCATATCCCATTTACCCTGATGAGCCCCAGTTCCCCCCAGCTGGGGGGCTGGGGGGGATACACGCCCAAGGCCTAAGCCAAAGTCTTCCTACATTCGGAAGTTTAATAAAGTTGTGGCCTAATTTTAATTCCATATAATGTTGTCAGATTCTTTATTCCTTCCTTATGATCCCTGGGGGCTGGGGCTGTCGCCACCTGGTCATGCAACAGCAGCCTCACCGCTGAACAGGGCTTGATCTGGTGCAACTTTATGCCAGCTTAATGCCTTGCTTTACCCCAGCTTCTTGAGCCTGGTGTTTTCACCTCTAGTGTTTTATGGATCTCCTTGCTCTTCTCACACTTTTTTCCTGCTTGTGGCTTCTGCATTTCCGCCACTACCCCCACCTCACGTTTTGACAAGGGTATATTCTAAAATAACCTGCCTGCCTGACGTAGCCCAGCCCAAAAATAAACCATTCTTTTCAGTGTCAGGTGCGTCACACCTGCAGATAGCATCACTTAGCTAGACAAATTTCTAATCTCGATTCTCTTTGTATATAAATACCGGTATCTCAGTGCACCCGACCCGGCCATCTGCCACTTGCTCTGGTGCAGTGAATAATTGACTAAAGGCCAACACTGCCTTTGTTTCACATGCTTCTTTGCGTAGACAAGTTCCCACGTGTGGCTCTTTCTAACTTGACAAGCGTACAGTCGTGTTACGAAGCTTATTTCCAATATTACAAAGATATTAAAGCCTTGATCTTTTGGGTTACAGAATGTTGATCCCACCAGCTGTGTTCTCCACCCCCTCCAATATATTATTATTATTATTACTATTGCACATCTAGTCAGTTTCAACAATGTGAGCGTTGTATGCCCAGCTGTTCACATCCAGCATTATTTAAAGGACCAAAAAAGATCAACTCGTTATCTTGAGAGGATAGCACATATGGTTGGGAAGGAGACAAAGAACAAAGGAATGATCATGGAGAAACCAGGACAAAACAAAAGGCTGCGAGTCTATTCATAACTGTCAGTGATTGGCTGGATGAAGAGGAGTGGTGGGAGGCACCATTCGGGAAACCCCCAAGGGAACCCCCAGAGGAGGAAGGCTCAGAGCCAAGGTGGTGGGACTCTGAGGGGAGGTTAGAGGAAGAAGATTGGGAGGAGGGAGTGGATGCTGAAGGGGCAACTGGGTTTAGTGAGCAGGAGGAGCTGGTGTCAGGGAGCAGTTCAGACGCCAAGGCTGAAGCAGAGGAGGGGCGTCAAAAGGCTGCTGAAAAATCCAGGGAATCTCCCTCTCTTGCTGCAACAAGTTCCATCCCGCTCCATTTCCATTGCAGAATATTGGGGAGAGCAGAACAGAGATGCACAGATGTAGTTTGAGACTGCTTGGGAAACACCCGGGACAGGAGGAGCCTTAGAAAAGGGGGAAGGCAGGGACCCTCAGTCCTGACAACTGCTCCATAGGGGCAAGACCTACTGGGAAGAGTTGCCAAGCGTATGCCGTTTCCTTGAATAAAGAGTTGACTTCACTGACAACAGAGCCCTGTGTCTTTTGTGACTCCAGCCCTGACAGTTTCCTTACATTTCTAAGCCATATTTCATCTCTCATGGAGGCCCAAGTGGTGTTATGTGTAGATCCCAGGTGCCACCCATGCTGGCACATAGACCAGACCCAGACCTGCTTAGTTCAGCAAGTTGATGGAATCATGTTCCCAGTGGCAGAGTGTTCCAGGGACCACGTGGATGGGCAGGCGGGCTGCTTTTGTGTACTCTGAGCCGGAATGGAGTGTCGCAATTTTTGCACGCATACCCAGGCCTGCACCCTTGGCAGGGGCACAGATTACTCTCCTAGAAACTTGGCTGCTTCACACCATAGTTGCTTCATGTGGTTGTGGACCTGAGTTCCTGATTGTGTGGAGCAAATGTATTTTGTTGCTGGATGGTTTCTTCTCCTCCTCCTCCTCCTCCTCCTCCTCCTCCTCCTCCTCCTCCTCCTTCTTCTTCTTCTTCTTCTTCTTCTTCTTCTTCTTCTTCTTCGTCGTCTGTCTATACCAAGTAAAATGGGCCACTTTCCCAATCCAGCATGGTTGTTCTTATGGAAAGTGATCTCACTATAGTGAAAGATAAAATGTCAGCCAAATCAATCATCATCAGTAGGAAAAGTACATTTGAATATAATTAAATGCTGAACTCCGATCTTCCTCTCTCTCAAACGAGACAACTAATTCTACAGGTGCTAAGAACATTCTGTGCTGGGTTGCCACCTCAATCCATTTCTTCGCCTTGCAATTAGGATACTTGTATGTGCTCATTCTGCTGGTGATTTGTCCATTTTGAGAGGAGAGAGAGAGAGAGAGAGAGAGAGAGAGAGAGAGAGAATTGCTGTTCCATTTACTTCTAACATCATAAGAGGTTTTGGAGTTCAAGGACAGTGCAAAATTATTAGCTGAACTTTTTACCTGAACTTCAATACATGGTTGTATGTATTTAGGCTGCCTGCATTTAAAATGATGTAGTCTGGCATACTTTGAAACGTCCATTTAATTTGCATTAATTGTGCCACGCATTGACCTTTGTAAAAACCACGGTTGGTCTGTTGCTCCATGGCAACGCCTGATGCAATGCAACAGGAAGCCCACGTGTAGGGCTGCCAGATTCGCGGAGTCAAGTTCTTTGCATGCAAGATACTCCTGATACCCAAGTGCCACAGTCTGGAACCCCATGGAAATACAGAGCAGGGTTCAGCAGAGGGTTCCTTACCTGTAACCCCATTGCTGATACAGAGTTGGCTCCTCTATCCATGCAACTTGTTGCTGACGGCAAGCTGAACAGTTCATATGGCACCTTCTCACTGTACTGATAATAATTCTGATTGACATCTGATGGCCTTTTAAATGTGCTGTGGACGGGAGGGTTATTGAGTGGCCTTTGTTTTTGTTTTTATTATGTATTCTGTGTTTTTTTATATTGTAACTGTATGCTGTGAACCGTCCTGAGATCTATGGGTATAGGGCAATATACCAATAATAATAGATAAAGGGACGCGGGTGGCGCTGTGGTCTAAACCATTGAGCCTCTTTGGCTTCCCGATCAGAAGGTCGGCAGTTCGAATCCCCACAACAGAGTGAGCTCCTGTTGCTCTGTCCCAGCTCCTGCCAACCTAGCAGTTCGAAAGCACACCAGTGCAAGTAGATAAATAGGCACTGCTGTGGCAAGAAGGTAAACGGAGTTTCCGTGCACTCTGGTTTCTGTCACTGCACCAGAAGCAGTTTAGTTCTGCTGGCCACATGACGCAGAAAGCTGTCTGTGGACAAATGCCGGCTCCCTCAGTCTGAGAGCGAGATGAGCAAAACAATCCCATATTCACCTTTGACTGGACTGAACTGTCCAGGGGTCCTTTACCTTCACCTTTTAGCAACAACAACAACACTGAGGCCACTGAGATCCAGCACCGAGGGCCTTCTGGCGGTTCCCTCATTGCGAGAAGTGAGGTTACAGGGAACCAGGCAGAGGGCCTTCTCGGTAGTGGCACCCGCCCTGTGGAATGCCCTCCCATCAGATGTCAAGGAAATAAACAGCTATCTTATCTTTAAAAGACATCTGAAGGCAGCCCTGTTCAGGGAAGTTTTTAATATTTAATGCTGTATTGTTTTTAACACTCAATTGCAAGCTGCCCAGAGTGGCTGGGGAAACTCAGCCAGATGGGTGGGGTATAAATAATAAATTATTATTATTAACAACAACAACAACAACCTGCTTTGGGCCACCAGCCCTAATACACAAGGGCAGCTCAAGACATTTTGCCGCCTGAGGCAAAACAGTAAATGGCACCCTACATTCCTCCTCTGCTGTCATACCCCTTTGTCATTGCCTCCTCTTCTTCTGCCACCTCCTCTGCCTTCACCACTGCTGCCTGAGGTGGCCCAGGGAATCCCTGGCTTGCTGAAGATGGCAGGGGTATAAAAAGGAGGCAGGAAAGGAGCATGCAGTGGCAGCAATGGCGGCCCCACACTTCCTAGGTGGCGTTTGCAGGAAACAAGCATAGGAGGTGGAGAGAGACATGCTGCTCCAGGGCCCTGGATCTGCTACCCCTCCCAACTATGCCTAGCCTACCACCTGAGGTGATTGCCTCATGGAGGCTAATATGCAGGCTGGCCCTGTAGAAACATGATAGATGCCACAGAGGAGGGAGCTGCTGTTTCCCTTCCCTACAATTCTTGCTGGCCATAGTCTTCAGGGGGGTATATGGGAATGGGTTAGCAGGTGGGATGGCAGATATATGTGTTGGTGATCTTAAACTAGGCTTCTTTCACCCAGTGGGAGTAGCTCTGAAAAGAACTTGAACATGTTTAAGTAACTCTTAAAGAAATTACTCTCCCACGTCTTTGGTTTGTCAGGTTCCCTAGGTAACCTTGAGGGCAGAAGTTTCTTCTTCTTCTTCCAGCCTTTTTTTTCCCTTTGAAACTCTGCAAAAGACAATCACCCCCAAGGCACTACTTGCGTTTGAAAAGTATCTTCTGCATTCTAAACTCTCCTGCCCCAAACAGCAACTGATTACTATAAATCACATAGGGCTTGTCTTCTGTAATGAAAGGGAATGTTAAGTCAACATAAGCAAACAATAGTTCAGCATGGCAGCTCAGAGGTTTGCCCATAAAAAGCAAAAGTGCCACAACTTGAAAGGTAATTAATGAATTACAGCAAAATTCGAATCATGTCTACTCAGAAGGAAGTCCTATTGAATTCAATGGGGCTTGGCACCAGCTATGAAGGGTTGGGTTTACAGTCTAATAATGATAATAATAATAATAATAATAATAATAATAATAATAATAATAATTTATTATTTGTACCCCGCCCATCTGGCTGGGTTTCCCCAGCCACTCTGGGCGGCTTCCATAAAAACCAAAAATACACTAAAATATCACACATTAAAAACTTCCCTGAACAGGGCTGCCTTAAGATGTCTTCTGAATGTCAGGTAGTTATTTATCGCTTTGACATCTGATGGGAGGGCGTTCCACAGGGCGGGCGCCACTACCGAGAAGGCCCTCTGCCTGGTTCCCTGTAGCTTTGCTTCGCGTAATGAGGGAACCGCCAGAAGGCCCTCGGCGCTGGACGTCAGCGTCCGGTCAGAACGATGGGGGTGGAGACGCTCCTTCAGGTATACTGGGCCGAGGCCGTTTGGGGCTTTAAAGGTCAACACCAGCACTTTGAATTGTGCTCGGAAACGTACTGGGAGCCAATGTAGGTCTTTCAAGACCGGTGTTATGTGGTCTCGGCGGCTGCCCCCAGTCACCAGTCTACCTGCCGCATTCTGGATTAGTTGTAGTTTCCGAGTCACCTTCAAAGGTAGCCCCACGTAGAGCGCATTGCAGTAGTCCAAGCGGGAGATAACTAGAGCATGCACCACTCTGGCGAGACAGTCCGCGGGCAGGTAGGGTCTCAGCCTGCGTACCAGGTGGAGTTGGTAGACAGCTGCCCTGGATATAGAATTGACCTGCGCCTCCATGGACAGCTGTGAGTCCAAAATGACTCCCAGGCTGTGCACCTGGTCCTTCAGGGGCACAGTTACCCTATTCAGGACCAGGGAGTCCTCCACACTAGCCCGCCCCCTGTCCCCCCAAAACAGTACTTCTGTCTTGTCAGGATTCAACTTCAATTCATTAGCCGCCATCCATCCTCCAACCCCTCCAGGCACTCACACAGGACCTTCACCGCCTTCACTGGTTCTGATTTGAAAGAGAGGTAGAGCTGGGTATCATCTGCATATTGATGGACACCCAGTCCAAACCCCCTGATGATCTCTCCCAGCGGCTTCATATAGATGTTAAAAGCATGGGGGAGAGGACGGAACCCTGAGGCACCCCACAAATGAGGGCCCAGGGGTCTGAACACTCATCCCCCACCACCACTTTCTGAACACGGCCCAGGAGGAAGGAGCGAAACCACTGTATAACAGTGCCCCCAGCTCCCAGCCCCTCTAGACGGTGCAGAAGGATGTTATGGTCGATTGTATCAAAGGCTGCTGAGAGATCCAGCAGAACCAGGAAACAACTCTCACCTTGGTCCCTAGCTCGCCGGAGATCATCAACCAGTGCGACCAAGGCAGTTTCAGTCCCATGATGAGGCCTGAATCCCGATTGGAAGGGATCCAAATGGTCCGCATCCTCCAGGCGTGCCTGGAGTTGTTCAGCAACCACACGCTCAATCACCTTGCCCAAGAATGGAAGATTTGAGACTGGGCGATAGTTGGCCCTACTGGCTGGGTCTAAAGATGGTTGTTTAAGAAGCGGTTTAATAAGCGCCTCTTTCAGCGGATCTGGGAATGTTCCCTCACAGAGGGAAGCATTCACCACCCCGCAGAGCCCATCGCCCAGCCCTTCCTGGCTTGCTTTTATTAGCCAGGATGGACAAGGATCAAGGAGACAGGTGGTTGGTTTCACGCGTCCAAGCAGCCTGTCCACATCCTCGGGGGTAACGGATTGAAATTGATTCCATGCAACTTGACCAGACAGAGCTCCAGCACTCTCCCGCCCCAGCCCTGCTCCCACAGTGGTGTCTAGCTCCTTCCGAATATGAGTGATTTTATCTGCAAAAAACTTTGCAAAATCGTTGCAGGAGATCTTGGGGTCTTTACAAGACCCCGGTGGTAAAGGTGGTTCCGTTAAATTGCGAACCACCTGAAAGAGTCTCCTGCTACTATTTTCTGCAGATGCAATAGAGGGGGTGAAGAAAGTCTTCTTTGCCGTCGCTATCGCCACTTGGTAGGCTCGACGTTGAGCTCTAACCTGTGTCCGGTCAGATTCGGAGTGAGTTTTCTGCCACCGACGCTCTAGCCGTCTCAGCGATTGTTTCATTGCCCTCAGCTCCGAAGAAAACCACGGGGCTGTCCGGGCTCCATGCAATCGGAGAGGGCGCTCGGAGCCAGACAGTCGATAGCCCTGGTTAACTCCGCATTCCAGCGGGCCACCAGGGAATCAGCTGAAAGGCCATCAACATGGGATAAAGCATCCCCTACCACTCTCTGGAAACCATTTGGATCC